CGCCCCCCCCCCCCCCCCCCAAAAAATGATTTGCAATGAAAAGATAAAGGTGACTTTTTCACTGCAGTAGTAGTCTTTCCATTTTACTTTATTATAGCGTTTTGCAATTAATATCTGTGATACAATGTTCTCCTCGTCTAATGGAAATGGCTATTCCATCATCTTCATTTCATCCCTGGCATCCTTCCATCTTGGTTCTTACCCAAGTCTCCACTGCGTGTCACCATCTTCTTGATAAATTACATTCTTTCTATGATGCGCTTGACTCGGTGGCCTAATGGGTATAACTGTGTAGCTTAAATTTGCAGAAGAGTCTGAGAAATTGGAAAGAAATTCAATTCGTTGTGATTGTGTGGTATCTGGTTAAGATCACAGCTGTAATGAATATGGAACTGGTCATGCAAACAGGCAAGTTCTTCAGCACAGGCATCTACCTACAGAAACGTCAGCAGCGATGTCAAAGATGCCAGTGACAGTGTTTCTGCTAGGTTTGCTCTGGTACAGCTGTGCACAAGTATCAATATTTTTCATTCGGTTGTTTTTTGGAGTGGGTTTTTGATTTGTTTTTTGAGCTCATATATACTCAAGCAGGGTTAAGAGCGGGTAAAGCTGTGTCCCATGATTGCTTTAAATGTAGAGGCTGAACAGTGGTCGATCCTCGCTGCTCTGGGCAATGCTTTTTCAGAGACTTCCAAGGATATTATCCATGCAGTAAGCTAGGTTAGGCAATTGGTTCGGCTAAAAATCAACACTAGGAGAAAAATTGTTTTTCAGCTGGATCAGTTTGTTGATTGTGCCGCTGTGTGGAGAGCCAGAAGACTAGTGTCGACACAAGAGAAGGGTCAGAAGAGCTGACTGAGAGGGAGAGCAGGACCTTCCCCTCGCCTCTGGGCAGTGAACATCTATTCATATTGGCCTGTGGTGACTACAAAACTTTCTGGGCAAAAAAGCAAAAAACTATCCCTGTGGTTTTTATATGTACTTTTTATTGGGAGCTACTGGTAATACTTAGCTCTTTCCTTCAGAGTTATCATTTCTAACTCATAAGAAATACTAGTGTACAGTATGGTGTGTTTTTCCCCTATCCCTAGGTACTTATAATGCCGTATAGATTAAATGCAAAAGAAAAGTAAGACTCTGGAGTCTGGTATATTTATTTTTAATAAACATTGCAGCTCTTTTTAGATGGATGAGTGCTAGCGTTTGGCAATTTCACTGTTTCTCTGCTTCTGTAACTTCTGCAAGTTCTACTAAAAATGCATTTTTGAGAGATTTTTGTATCCTTGCTTTTTGTCTTTGGATAGGTTTCTGTATTTTGTAGCTTATTTTTAAAGCTCTGATGGAACTGCGATCATATGCTGTATTTGTGACTTGGATTTTTCCCCCCTTACCATAGTTTTATGGGAAGAAAAAAGAGATTCACTAGAAATGCGTGCGCATCTGATTCATTCTGTATTACTTCCGTTCTCCCAGCAATAGCAATTTGTATCCCTGTGATTCACAGGCAAAAGTACTGCCAGTTGAATGACCGTTCTCGTCTGACGTCTTTCCACAGCTTCACTTTTCACTTATGAAAGCCCATTGATTTTCATTAACTCTGGGTTTTGGGACATGAGTTTAGAGTTTGATTTCTTTGTGTTTCTGTTATTGTGTTTTTTATATATAGTTTGCTTGCTTGTTTATTTCTTGATGCTTTCCTCATCAGAAGCAGCACTTTCATAAAAATGAATGAAAACAATGACCCTTTGAAAACGTAAACTTGATACTTTGACTGTCATTTCATCTATTCTGATGCAATATCTTGATAACTCAGTCTTTTCTTTTCATGTGCCAGACCCTAAAGGAAATCAGCTTTTCAAAGCTGAAGTTTCTCTAGGCTGTTCTCTAGAGAGGACTGTCAGAAAGGTCAAACGTTTCCCTTGTTTCTTTTCTTACTATTTGCTCAGACACTTTTCCCAAACATATCAATAAATTAAATTTTACCTAAGTCAAGAAGAATTTTACTGAAGGCTGATAGCCTGAAATTTGATCAAGAGACTGACTTCTGAATACCTAAGCCGCTCATAGTTGTCTTTTGTGTGAGGGCATGGATATGTATGAATATATAGGCATGTTCTGCCCTCACAATTTTGGGGACTTTTCTTTTATTACAGGAAGTGAAGCCTTGGTGTGGTATTTCTGGTAGGATTAGTTTCTTTTTACCATCTCATTCATTTTGAATAGCAGCTTCTCAAAATAGCATTGAGGGGAATTTGTGTGTCCCTAGTGTGATTTATCATCTAGATAAATCGAAATAAATAAATTACGAGTTAATAATAGGGCATATGACTTGAGGGAACACTAGTAAGAAGTTTTTTCAGTTAAAATGAACTTGGGTAAACAGGGAGAAATGTCTTTAAATATGTGCATCATTTTAAATGCTTTTATTAACAGCTTATGTTTTATATGCTGAAGACCACTGAAAGCAAGCATTCACATTTCCTTGTCAGTTGAGGTTAAAAGTGTGGGTTTTCTTTTTTTTTTTTCTTTTCTTTTTTTCTTCTTTTTTTTTTTTTTTTAACTGTTTACACATTGGAAGACTGAGGTTAAATTTGTGTGGGTTTTCTTTTTTTTTTCTTTTCTTTTTTTCTTCTTCCTTTTTTTTTTTTTAACTGTTTACAGATTGGAAGACTGAGGTTAAATTTAACATTTGTATTCTTAGTTTCATCCATCTATGCAATAGTTATGCGTGACTGTTGTCTTAGTAATCAGACACTTTCTTGTGCTGTCAATTATTTTGAATGCTTACAGGTCTTTCTAAAACCTAGTTTTCTGTTATATTTCTAGGCATAGTTGGCACTACTGTCTGTGGTTAAGGGGTTACTTAACGGTTCTTATCTGGCTAATTGTGCCAAACTGTACCTGTATGAGCTGAAATTTTCTAAACAAGATATTTTCTGCGTTCCTCTGTTTTTGAAATTCAAAAAAATTCAGCTGCTGGGAGCCCAAAACTAGAGGAATTCTTGTGGTTTTGCTGTGGTGTTTCTTTAGAAGTATTTCTTTGAAACATTTGCGCTTTGCCAAGTTTTGAAGCTGAGACCTGAAGTTTGGCAAGATGGGGTGAACGGTGGCTTTTGTAGAAGTCTTTTTGTGATTCTTTCCCTCAGTTAAAATGTTCCCCTTTTCGGTCTTGGGATAAACATTTGAAAAGTAGCTTGCATACTGGAGCTTAATAGCTAAAATTACTGGAGATCTTAATGATTTACTTTCTTGCACACCTTAACGCTTGCCAAGACACTCTCCCTGCTGGTCTTTTCCATAGAGCAGTCCAGTATCTTCTAAACCATGGATTTGTTGGGTCCAAAGGCTTTTGTAGAAGCGGCCTCTTGGGAGTGACCGTCACAGCTGAGAGCAGTGGCTCTTCAGTATGTTCAGTGCCATTAATTGCTGTAATATCTGAGAATTCACATTGGGAACCGTAGTTTTATCACACTGCACAAATGCAAAATAAAATGACGACAAGAGGGAAAGAGGTATGGGGCAATGAGACTTGGAAGTGTAACAGTGCTACCTCCCCTTGTGTAAGGCTGCCCTGGGGAGGTTGCGGGGCATCGAAAGCAGTAGCGCTGGCACATTGGAACGCTGCATTGCTCCTGACCATAGGCCTTTTCTTCGGCTTTATGGATTTTGGGTTATGCTTTAGAAAAATAAAATTGTTCTGTGGAAATGTACAGCTCACCAAATATACTTTTTATCATTTTTGTATCTTCTCTTTGTGTTTCCTAGAGCTGTCTTCTCAGCCTTGACTGTGATGTAGTAGCTTTGCCATGTTTTGAATAGTAGAGTGACTATTTTATCATTGTGTTTACAGGTAGTAGCCTCAAAGACGCTTCTAGATCTGAGTTGTACTAATTAATAGCTTGTCATATAGTGATATTGGACTGTATATAAGTAATTTATTTATCCCTGATGCATTAAGAATTTCTTTCCTCATCCTTGCTTTGCTACTTGCTAGTATTTCAGAGCAAATTCTGAAGGTTAAAAGTATGCCATTCCATCAAAAAATATGGAATTATCTTGAGTTTTGAGAGCTTAGAGATTACTACCAGATCAATACAACAGAGAAATATGCTTCCTGCTGTATTAGGCCTCCTTTGTTACAGTGTCTCTGTCAGTGCATTCCAATAAAGCCAGCCCGATGCTTTTCTCAAGTTTGCTTCTCAGTATGTTTTAGGAATCTCTTTTTTTTCCACTTTGATCTCAGAAAAACAAAATCCTGACGAAGGGGAGGCACCCAGTGTTTTTTAAAGTGATACTAATCGGTAAAACTTCCATGAAGAAAGGCCACTTACTGAGAAGCTATCCATCTTTGGAGTGGCAAAGCTGAGCGTTATCTTCTAGTTGTATACTGGACGGAGAGGTGTGTTTGTAATGTTCTGTGATGGGTGCTAGCTATCACCTATGGAAAAGTAGTTTGTGCTGGTTACAGATAGTTATCTCTAGCTTCCACTGATGCTCCTGAGTGCTGCATGTTCGTTCAGAGAAGCAGTGGTTCCTGTGAAAGAATGTTTGGCAAGAGGAAACATATTTACATATTTTATATGTAATATAGGCCATTACTTGCGTTTCAGGTACTGAGCAGTACAGTGAATATACAGGCTATGCAGAAACCTACCGGTGGGCAAGAAGCCATGAAGATAAGACCCCAAGGTAAAATTTCACATAAATACTTCAGCTGAAGGAATAAACAACTGCCTTAAATTTTTGAAAAATTGGTAGCTTGAGTATTTCCTCGCCTTCCTAGAATTTTACTGTTTGCTCCTGCTCTCTTCAGTAGAGCCAACAAACTTTATCTCATGTTAATCAATGGTCTTCCTTGCTTTCTTGAAGCTAATAATGGTATCTGTCGATATTTCAGTTCTTAAACCAACTTCTACGTGTTTTTATTCTAAAATTCTGTTAACATATTGCCTGAGGTGTGGGTTGATAATGCCGCACAAGAAGCTCGACGGTGATACCTTGGGTGAAAAAGTGCCAGTGACACTCGCATGGCAAACTAAGATTTAATATAATGAATCTGCGTTGAAAGCCCTGAGTTCTTTTTTTATTATTCAGCAGTGTTATAGCATATGCACAAAATTATGCATTTGGTATGGGAACAAGACAAGCTGAGGAGAAATGAGCTCTTTTGAAACATATGCAGTGTACTCTTATAAGTATCGGAGGATGACAGAGCCCAAGTGCCTTGTTTTTTTTTTCACCTGACCTTGCAGTGTTCCTCTGTAGTTAATAAACAGTGCAGTTTAATTAGATTTTGTTTCACTTTTCTACTCTGATGTTCAAAGTCCAGCCAGAGTGTTTGTGCTTTTATTGGAAGCCTTTTGTCTCTTTCTTCCTGCTGCTGCTCCCTTCTTCTCCTGCCCTCTCCCCCCCTTCCCCCCCCCACCAAAATGCTCCATTGACTGTTAATGAGCTTCACCTTTCTGGCTTCTACTAGCAGAGAAGCTCTGCAGGGAGTTGCTTATTTTTGGATCATGCTTATATGGCCAATACTAAACAACTAATTTCATTGTCATCCACTTTTGTCCTCCTTCCAATTTTAGGGATGAGTGGCAGCGACGCTACACTGAAATTGTTGCTATAGATGCATTTCATTTCAGACGTTTCCTTGATCAGTTTGTTCCGGAGAAAATTAGAAGAGAGCTCAACAAGGCCAGTAACTTTTTGTTACAGTCAGCAGTTTAAGGCTGTTTCATTGATGTTTATAGTACCTTTTCAATATTTTTGTATTGTTGTTATCTTCAACTAAGGTTGTTCTTGCTTAATTGTTTTTTATAAAAGATTTTCTTTGGGGTTTTGCCCTCTAATGTTAAAGTAGAAGCTTTTCAAATAGAAGCACATACCCTTTGATACTCTATTCAAAGATGTATTTTCTTTAATGTTCAAAAATATACACAAAGTTTGGCAATGCATGTTTCTAACTGTCTGCTGTCCTGCTTCTAAAGTATGATTCAAGTCCTCTCCCAGTGTTTTTACAGGACTGAGTTATGGCTGGCTCTGCTGGATTGTACTCACCTTTCCAGTTAAGGTGGAGAGGGGCTACCTCATGTTTTAACATGGCATATATGGTGCACCTTGCTTTTGTTCCACCTTTCTTGCTAACTCTTGGGGTACTGTCATATGAAGATGAGGTTACTTTCCCAGTTGTGGCTGGCTTGGTTTTTGTTTTTTCTTCTTGCTTAGTTGTTGTTTCTTTTCTTGAAGCAAAAGCAATCTTTTCCCAGCTCATGGTTGTTTTTCCAGTGACCAGTAATTACCAGCAGTGAGCTGTTTATAGTTCTGGGGCCTTAGTTTTCAACTTGTGCCCGTGTTTTCAAGGCCTTTGCTGTTATTCCATGCTTAAACTGTGTGTCATAACAAGAGACACCCAGTAGCAAGCTCTGTGTCACACTGCAGATTCTCATAATAAGTTGGTAACGTGGCTAACAGGCCTGAACTAGGGCTTTGCATGTGTAAGGCACAGTTAGTGTAAGGTCTGTGGCCTGTTACAGCAGTGGCAGTACTCTTTTTTTACTGCACTATTGAGTACAAGGGTGCTTCCACAGTTATTGTGCTTATGTTTGGGTTAAAAACAAGCTAAGTCTGTTTAGTGCACTTCTGCTCTTATAGATGCAACAGGCATCTGCTTTAGCCAGAGGATTAAAAATAAGGGAGCAGTACTACAAGTTGTTGAGGTCTCCTGCTTTCAGCAGTATGTTGATAGGAGGCAATGGAAATATAATAGGATGTATCTAAATAAATGCCACCCTAGGTATTTTCCTAGCCATCCAGCTAGAAAGGGAATGTATCTTAAAGGCAATCAATTCTTTTCCCCTAGAAAAGATGTACGGTGATGAAAGACTAATTTAGCTTTAAAACTTGAGTTTCATGACTAAAATAACATTCATCAGCTTGTTTCTTTATGGCTGGCAATGAAATTAGCCCTGAAAATCATTGTGAATAAATGTAAACTTCAGTGACACCTTACTACAAAATTCAGGTTACCAACTCTCCTGAATTTATGATCTGCATACAGTTTTCAATATTATTGATTAGATTTAAATTTTTGAAATGGATTACAGTAGATTCATGAATCTTCCATGCAGTGTGCCAGTTTAGCTGATGATGTTTGAGAACTGGTTGGAATTCAAAGAAAACTTTAAGCCTCAGTTAAAGAAATTTTTGTTGTTGTAAACAAAGAATTCAGTTTAATGGAAGTTCTATGTTATTTTAACAATTCAAATGTGTTTGAATGAAGTTTCTTCAATTGTTTGAGTTGAAATTAATATTAGCCTTAAGAATTTTCTGTGAGGATGAAAGCAAGTTGAGGGAATAAGTTGTAACTCCATTTCCATTACAATGTAATAAATTAGGGCTCAGTAAACAGAAATGGGCTGTAAAATACAAGTGCATCACGTGTTACTAGCCATAGGTTAGCCTCTGTTTGTTTCCAGAAGTTCTTTTGACCCTCTGTTATTTTGTTAGCCATTAGGAGATAATTGAAACAACTTGAATAAAATAATTCTTCTTGCAGACTTGTATTTTCCTGTAAGCATATATAATTTCTCCTTTACACGCTCTGTTTGTCTTAAGGAACTACATGTTCAATGACAGTCAAGCTTCTCAAATGGCAGCTGTGTTAGGGTGACCCCAATTTCTGGTTTATCCTATGCCTGGAAAAGAAGATGAATATTGTCTTAAATCAGTTGCTCAGAATGAGAAGAAAGCCCATTGTGTTTGATTTCAACGTTAAGATTTGCAGATACACATGTAAAAGATGTCATAGTTTTATCCTTGCGCGCCCCTTGAGATTATAGGGTAATAACGTCTCTCCCTAGCAATAATTTTTTTCTAGTTGGAAGTTCCACCTTCCAAATGCTAAGGAACAGCTGGCCTGGCAATCCCAGTCATAAACGTCATGAAACCTGTTTTGATAGCCACTGATTTAAAAGCCTATAGCTTCATCTTCAACAAGAAAGGCTTCCCTAAAAATTATGGTATGCAGAATGGTTGTTTTAAACAGTGTTAACTGTGAGAACTATATTGAGCAGCAGTGTGGAGAGAAAAAAAACTTGCAAATATCATACACTTCTAAATAATATGACATACTGTATATCTAGAATCATGTACAATTTGAACATATCCATTCATGTTGTTCAAAAGCACTAACTTTTCTGCTTTCCATATGGAAACAACTGCTTTAAAACAATGCACAAAACAGCTTGCATGTTTTCGTATTCTTAGGTGAAAACTGCTCAAGATGTTGGTGCATTGTTTCTTTTTTAGAGAGTGATTAGTTGCTTTAAATTCTTTATGTAAAGACAGCTTTACCCTTTATTTGCTATGAAAAATCACATGAGAGGAATTCCTTCAGATATTTTCTTCATTGTTGCTGGGGCCCTTCCAAGCGTTTGAAGACTTTCTTACTGTTTCTGACAAGGCGGTTTTTATTCTCCGTGCTTTTTCCTGGTTAGTTGAGAAATACATGCTCATTAAATACAAACTGAAAAGAAAATGGCGTCCTATTGCAGCACCAATCCATATCCCTCACCAGGAGGATGGAGTTTGAAGAATTATTTTCCACACACCTGGTGTAATAGCTTGCTTGGCCGACTCATTTTGTACAAATGTGCTTTGGACATTAAGCACGCTAATAGTTCTGTCTTTAGAGAGAGCATAAACAGCTCTGGAACGGGTAATTTGTAAACACTCGTGTAAATGTGCCTTTTGCAAGCGCTGAGTCAAGGGTACACTGCCAAATTATAACTAACAAAGTCAGAATTTACTGCTTAGATCAGATAAGGGTGAAAGACATGAATTTTTCAATCCATATCAGACAATGTGTTCAATAAATTTTTGTGCCATCTGAAAAACTTCACAGGGATGTATCTCTTTTCTGTGCATATATGTAGAAACATTTGTCACTGCGCAAGACTTCTTAGTGCATATCAGACTTCCCCCTCCCTCATTTATCGTATTAGACCTGTATTTTAAGATGCCACTTTGTATTTTGTTTTCAGTTTTGAGGAGTTTCAGTCATACTGGACAAAGCAGTCCAGCCATCATGTATATTAAGTGAACTGAAAAGTAATAAATGTGATATAATCTACTGTTAAAGTTATATTCTCTGTTCTGGCTAATCTAGAACTTTTCTGTAATTTTGATGACATCCCTAGGAGTTTGCACTTTTATCTATTTTTTTTTTTTAGCTTGGATCCAAATATGGAAAAGTTCTTCTTGCCTTAAATTCTTACGTGCTACTGTGATTGATGTTAAATTTAAAGGAAGCCTCATGCTGTATTGAATTTATTTTAATTTTAGTTTACTAGAAGATAGTACTGGTTGTTGTTATCATCTGATTGTCTGAAAACATTGCACCAGACTGCCTGTCAACTTCATCTGCTGACTCTTGTGTGCCTGCAGGCCTACTGTGGCTTCTCTCGACCCAATGTTCCACCTCAACATCTCTCTGCAGTAGCCACAGGGAACTGGGGATGTGGTGCCTTTGGAGGGGACTCCCGATTAAAAGGTAAATTGTAGCAATGCGTTAATGCCCAAATGAATCAAATAACGTAGATTTTGATTCTTGGGCATATCTTTTTGTTGTTGTTGTTAAAGGAAGTAAGTTTTTCCTTTTTGTTCACTATTAATAAATTTTAGCCAAGAACTGGAATAGTTAATTAATCAGTTCTGTCTGCAGTTTAACTTTGATCTTTAGGCCTTGAGTAACCTGTGGCTTTAAACAATAAAATGCTTGCTGCTTTTATATGCCGTTTGCAGTTGAAAGTTTGAGGTGGGTGCATCATGGGCCTAGTGAATCGCTGGGTTTGCAGCGTAACCCTGAAAACTTCAAAAATATGTATCTGCAGTGTTATTTCACAAAAGAACACGTTAATTGTAATTCTCAGTCATATAAATCATTTGGCCTTTCTGGGCCAGTCTTTCAGACTAAACCCAAAATATTTTTGTCTCTGCAAAGCTGCTTTAACAAAGTACCTGGTAACTTACAAGGTTTCAAAAATTCCCTGGCAATGCTTAATGTTCAGTCTTGCTCCTTAGTATGTTGCTGTATGCCAGAGAGGTTTCCAGGTTACCCACAGTCACTCAAAGATGCTGCTTTCTCTCCTGATTCACCTGCTAGCCCTTGCTTTCCCATGTCCTTCCTTTTTTTAATTAGAATATTTATAGTGCAGCAGATATCGCATGCCTGCATTCATTTAAGATTCTTTTCCCATCAAGTCAAGGACTGATGGATCCTGACACTTAAATCCATACCCTGATTTATATAATTCTAAGTAGAAATTTACATTTTGGTTATTGTCAAACACTTGGAGAGTATTTAAAATTTGTTTTTCTAAAACAGTGTTAGGTGGTTATGGTCTCAGACTTATAATTTTCACACTGTCGACTTCCTTAGTTTTCTTTCCAAATGTGTTTTATTCATTGAGAATCTATTTTTCTCTCAGTGCTGATTGATTTCATGACAGCTGTCTTTTGGTTTCCGTTAGCTAAAGTAGATTGCCAGGTTCAGATCATCAATAACAGGAGCAATATTTATTGCAGAATCTGATAATATTTGATTAATGACTCACATTAGGAAGGTTGAATAAATGTTTTAATTTTCATAAGACCTGTTCTTGGATCTGAATTGTAGCATCCAATGTATATTTATTTTAAGTGTATGGGTTTCTGCTAAAAATACTGTTCATCTGATCTAAGATATTATTTGTTCAACATTTGGATGTGAATTGCAGAACAGAACGCTTTACTTCCTCTCTCCCATCCATCAGAGCTCCAAACTGAGGTATACTAACAAAGACACCCCCACCCCGAGCTGATTCTGTTTGTTGAGGTAGCCCATAGAAAAGAAGTCTTAGACAAAGAAATGGGCCATCTTCATGTAGTGCTTTATAGATGAGATGTGAACTCTGTCCAGAACAAGAACGTGTAGAGGCTTGATAAAAGTACCTGTTATAGATCTGTAAGCATTCAGTGTTATTTTAGCTTATATCTTATTTTGATCTTTCATTCATTATGTTTTCCTCTAGTTTTGGATCAACTTTGTTTTTTTCCAAAGTTTGTCAGAAGTGACATTTAATAGCAAGTCACAGCACTGCTGTTGTTCTGAAAATATTTGTCTAAATCTATGTGCATACTTTCAAGCCTTCTCTTGCATTAAAGGTAGTCTTTTTGTAAACTGAACTTACTTTCTTAGTTGAGTCTAAAAAATTGATACTTAATAAAGAGAATTTAAGGGCAGTCATGAGCAGTGGAATATGGAACTGATCATTTAATATGTGACACTTTTTTTCTGAGCCAGTGCTGACTTGGAACAAGATGACTTGATTCTTTTATTTTTTATTTTTTTATTTTTTTATTTTTTATTTTTAAGTAAAATGAGATACGAAAAGGGCACAGTAATGTAAAAAGCATGGTTTTTGTTTTGTTTGTCAGAGTGGTATTTCATGTGTAATAACCAAATGAAAGCTCCTCTTGGTACATAGATAGTCTCTACGCAGTCCTAAGTGCCAAAGATGTTTATCCTTTTTATCCTAAAATGTATAGGGTTATTTTGAACAGCAAATTCTCTCAACGGTTTCACTTCATTCTGGCCAAATCTTTTACGGTGCAGAAGAGTCTTTTACAGTTTATAGGGAATCAAAGTCCTTCATTTCAGAAGATATTTTAGAAAACTGTGAGGTTATAAATTTCTCTGTTTCACTACCCAGGGAAAAAACTGTTGCTGCTAGACAGCGTATTGACAACGACGGAATAGTTTTCATATTTAAAATTGTGCTTTTTCATATAACGTTGTCTTTTCAAATGTAGTACCTGGATCTGTAGCAGAGACTTTAGGACATCGGCTAAGCCTGGCTTTATAAATGAAAGACCTGATACATTAACTAAACAGACAGATTCCAGCTAAATTGTAAATATCTCCCCCAGTTTTCAGTATGAACACAGGACTTTAAATATTGAAAAAAAGTATGTTTATATAACTGGGAGAAGTTGGAAGATCTTGGCTAGTTTTTCAGACCAGAGAATAAATTAACAGTTTGTGGATGCAGAAGGTATGTTTAATTGTCAAAGATTGGAAGAGTGCTGTTTTATTATTTAAAATGTAAAGGATACAATCTGAAGTGAGGCATCTTGTAAATACATAAACTTACCTTCTAAGGATTGTGAGGAGTTACTGTTTGTCTGAATCAGTACTCTTAGATAGCTGAGAAAACAAGAGTTCATTGAGAAGACTTATCGGCTTTAAAAAGACCCTTGTAGAATTGGTGGAAGCAAAGAAAAGCTTCTGTCTTGCCTAATGTAAATGTATGTGATAATGTGGTGCTATGATGATAGTATTGTAATTCTAAATTTACAGAATAGACAATAAGTAATAGAAGTTAATTCCAGTGTAGCGTTGTGTTCTCTTGGCCCTGCTGATCTCTCCAGGCTCCTGCTGCCTGGTGTACTGTGCAGCAGTAGTGGGGGAGTGCTGAGGGCGCACCATCATCGCTGGCCATAACCTCCTTTCCTCTGGAAAAAGGAACCAGAGCACAATGAAGTTGTCCCGTATGTGGAGACCTGCGTCCCTAGAGCGGTTTGGGTCCTGCTGGAGTTGTGGCCTTGCTGGGTGGTGGAAGGGGGTATGTGAACACAATCCTTCCTTCAGGTGCAGTTAGATGAGACTGGGCCAGCTGGGGGTGGCCAAATTGCAGGGGCAAGAGAGCCCCAGCCCTCCCAGTCCCCTGTGCAGGGGTTCAGTCCCCGCTCTTGTGACGCTGCTCTTGGTATCGGTAGTGGGGACACTACCAGTGGTATTGTATATTGCTAATGCCCAGAAGATGGTGAAGCCTGACTCTTGCCAGAAGTGTTTGACCTTTACTTCATGAGATTTAGAGCAATTTAGAATAAACAGTAGGGTTTTCTTAATGCTTCCTGTGTAAGGCAAAACTGCGTTGTTTGTTTGGAATGACTATGAAGATTCATTAGCTTCTGTTCCCCTATGCAAGCTAGTTAATTAGGCCCTTTAAAAACTGAACTACTGAAGCTTTACGAAATCCACAGCTGGTTCAGTAGTTTAATTAAAATATCATTCCCAGATTGAGATTAATTTCACATGTGAATCATGTAATTTATAATTTTAGCTATGGGTTTACAAGATTTTTTTGATTAAAGACTGCAGTATTTTATTAGGTCTCTGTTTAAAAGTGTGAAAGATTCCTCTTGTGAGCTGAGCTATGAATGGCTTTCTCTTTAATTTCCACTAGCAGGTAGTAGTGCAGTACATTCCCTGTTTTATTTCAGATGAATTTTTTCCTTTTCTACCCAGTAAGTAAAGTTAATTAAAATATGTGATTAATATTGTCATTGGACTCCAGCAGAATCAACTTCAACACTCTTACCTGCAGTGTCTGATTTTCTTTACTTTGTTTTAAAAGTGGAAGTAATGCTTAGCCACCCATTGTTTAAATTGCTGTACAGTATTCACCTGCAGATTGGTGCTGTGATTATTTGCTGTAAGGTTACGTTGTGCTTTTCCCTTCAACAAATTTTTTCCCGTATTCATTTGTGTAATCTCTTTCTGTCTTTCAGCCTTAATACAGATATTGGCAGCTGCTGAGGCTGGACGAGATATTGTTTATTTTACCTTTGGAGATGTGGAGCTGATGAGAGATATTTACAGCATGCACACTTTTCTCTGTGAGAAGGGCCAAACTGTTGGTGAGCATAAAGAAATCTTGTCATGCAGCAGAGCGATTTATCCTTCTTTAAGTGGAAATTTGTCACAAAATCACAGAATGGTTGAGGTTGGAAGGGACCTCTGGAGTAAGAACTTTCCAGTCCAGTAAGAACTATTGTCATCGAGTCCTGAACCGAAGGAAACTGGTCTTACAACTGTTTCCAAAGTGGGGAGCTGTTCTGATTCAGGGTCAACTGAGAAGTGTTAATCTGTTAGAAGACTTTCTGAATCCTTGGAATAGATGAGCACTTCTCAGTTGACCCTTGGGATTCATGGCCCAGAACTTGGAAAATCTGTGGTATATATGCAGTAAAAAGAAGGCTTACAAAGTTAGTAGAATTTAGTATAATCTGAGATGCTTTAGAAAAAGGAAGATCTGCTTACACGTTCTTGATACAGATTTGTCTCACAATGGTTTTGGCTTGACCCTCCATGATGAATTAGTAGCCATGACTGTTATCCAGTAGCAATACAAGAAAAGCTGTATATCCGTTGCCCCATTGTAAATGTTAATAGTGTCCTTAATTTCTGGGTTTAGAAGCACGAGACTCGCTAAAGGTCATTGGTAAGACATTTGTAAAGGGGCTGTGTGCAAGCTAATGTTCGGATGGTGCAGAGAGCTGAGCAGAAATTTGAGGGAGCCCCAGCCTATATTCTGAACTAACCTGCAAATAGCAGGGTCCCCCAAGTACAACTCTCTAGCTCCTCTTTCACTACTCCTTTAAAAAGATGCTTCTGGCCACTATCTCAGGGCAAATGCGCATTCCTAGACTACAGTTGCAGTCATGCATTCATCATATGGTATAATCTCACATTTTTAAAAATGTATTATTTCTTCTCATTTTTAAGGGGACATTTATAGGCTATTACTTAGATATTACAATGAAGAATGCAGAAGCTGTTCTACTTCAGGACCAGATGTCAAGCTGTACTCTTTCATATATAGCACCATTGAGTCCTATGCAGATTCTACTGATGATGATGAAGAAAAAGGATTGTGCTTTGAGGATTAAAATAAGTATGTTGAATCAAAACGTTGTTCCTCTCCTCCCACTGGTATATTGTTTGAATTGCTGGATGTAACACATGAATTGGCTTAATATATATTGACTGCATTGGTAGTGTTATGTATATCATCCAGACAAAAATCAACCTTTGAAGATTTTTTGTTTGAGGGTTTCATACATGAAACCCTTGTTCATGTGCATACAGAAAGGATTTCTTTGGTAAGTCCTGTTTCTTATGTAATCTTAATGCTGGAGTACAACGAGCCATGTAACTCCTGGGATGATTGTAGAGAGAAGCATTGTAATGATCATTCCTCCTGAAAATTGTATTATTTTCATTGCTTCCTTAAGACTGCCACAATATTTTGGTGTTTTATCAACTTTTTCATTCATTTAATTTAAAATATCCAGTTTTTAATATAATTATTAATAGTGATTAAAAATGGAGAAGTTCAGAGGGAGCTGTAATAGAGTCCGAAACTGTTATCTTCATCAAATTAGACAAAATCAGAAGTTAGCATGAAGGAGTACAGCAAACCTGAAGTATAGGAGGGTGGGAAAAGGAGAAATACGATCAGAGTTAGCATAAGTAGAGGGAAACACTTTCACATTGAACTTCTAAAACCATTTTATTGGACCTCTCTGTTACAACATTGAACAAGGTCCTCAGCATACTAGCGTATCTGAAGTTTTTCAATGTTTACTGTTGTTGGCAATATCATTTGAATTCAGGTCTGCTAATTGTGTTTATATTCTCATATCAGTCCTCCTTTATTAAAGTATTCACATATAGAAGCATAAGATGCAGATGGCATGACTTTGGTGAGGAACTGGAAGTCACATATCAGTGGAAGGAATGTCTTCAGGCTACAAATAAAAAAAGCTAGAACATGAAGCCTTGTTAGGAGCTTGTGCCTCTGTCTTTTTAGATGTGGGAAAGACAACAATGAAGAGAGGTTCAAAAGATTTTTTTTTTTTTTAACTGTGCTATTACCATCTATGTGAATACCAAATGAATGTTGCATTCGTGTTGTACGTAAAGAAAAAGTAATAGTTTACACAAAACTTCAGGTACATCAGTGATAAGACTTTTCCAGGCCTATGTACAGGGCCAATCCAGTGAAAAGTTTGTCTCCTAGTAGTTGATCTGCAGTTTAAGCCCAAATTGCTAAGTTTAGTCTCATCTGTGTTAGATTTCTTTGGTCTGGTCTGTCATTGTTGTTATAACCAGTTTAACGATACAAGCAAAAACCAGACAGAGGAAATGTAGTAAGCTAAGGCTCTGGTATCAAGAAATTCTTTGGTTTCACGTCTGATAAAATCTCTCCAAGCCTGGAATATAATGTAATTAAATGCTGGAAGCTGTTGGGAGCCTGGTTTACAATAGCGTGTTCGCTGTTGGAGTTGCTCTGGTGGAAGCAACAGTGAAGAGTTTGGGTCATTTATACTTCAGAGTGCTACACCATTGCATTAACGCTACAGTGGGCAGCTTGGAAACATGTTGCTTGGAAGTTGACATAGCAGCTTAAGCAATTTCTTCCTGTCATTCCCATTAGCTGTAGTTTTCTCCACCCACATCCATTATAACAACAAGAAAAAAAGGGGACAGGATTTCAGGTCCTTTACTTTGCTCTCGTGTCCTCAGAGTTATCAAAAATTGTTTCTCCTGCTCCTCGTGTTCCAGCACTAGCTCAGATTCTGACAATAGGAATAACACTGTTTATCATAAGCTCTTATTTGGGCATTTACTTCAACTATGATAGTGTTTCTAGATGCAGTGCTGATGATAAATGTACCCTATTAACTAACACAAGCAGTGGAAAATTGGTGCTAATTGCCAAATCTTACCCACCTTACTGCTCAGGATTTCCTATAGAAAAAATAAACAGAATTTGCTCCTGAACAACTGGAAGAAAATATAGCAAAAAGCTTTAGGTGGCTAGATATGACCTCCCCTTTCTTGTAAATAAGAACATCTTTATTAGTGCAATATTTATTTTCATTGTGGGGGAAAGTGATTTTTATGTATGAAAAATGTACCAAATAAGGTGGCATAAAATTCTACATCAGCTCTAAAAATGGAAAAATATATTTAACTTCTCTCAAAGATTCTCTCAAGATCAAATTATAGTGTATTCAGTTAAGGGAATTTTTGCAGTGTCAAGTATTTCCAGGATAATCCTAGTGATCATATGTGGTCTGTAATTTCACTGATACTTGAGGGTCAGGGGGAAGAATGTCTCTTATTTGAGATCATTCTTTAGAATATGCTTCCCATACTTTTTTCCTGTGAAATATGGTTGTATGGACAGGCTAAAAGGAAAATAAGAGTTAGGAAGTTAACAGTGTTAGATTCCTGTCACTTTCTAAGTCGAAAAAGAACTGAACTGCCCAGAATGCTGCATCAGTGTGGAAGCAGGAATTTTGGATCAGTCTGATATGTGCTCTGCATCTTATTTACTTTTCCATCCAACTACCACTCTCCATTTCTGAACTACCTGAAATGTTTTCTTTAGCTAGAGATGTTATTTTGGTGCTCTACATGAAACAGTGTAAAATGGAGATGCTGATGGTCTCTTTGTGCACCCTAGTAAACTTCAGTTTCACTCTTCTAGAAACTTGTTTATGGAGTACTCTTTTGTGTTTTTTTTTTTATTACATTAGGGATGTTTGCTATATGATTTCAAATAAACTTCTACCAAAACTATTGTTTTATACTTGTTTTAGCAGCTAAATTGAATGCTTAATATGAAACAACAATGGGCAGTCATTTAGATTGCAATGTTGCCTCATAATCAAGTTTGGTGTCAGAGCACCTCTGTGTGTGTTATGGCTCTCGCACCTAAATTCCTCAGTTATGAGGTGTTAGTTATGAGGTGTTCTTATCTAATGATGAGTACCCATTACTGTATATATTAATTTATAAACTGTTGAAGTGTTGACATTCTTTGAAACCTACAGTTTATGCACCATTATATTATATTGATTTTTCTGGATCTGTATGCTAATGTTTACATGATTTTGTAGTAATACAATTAAAAAATTCTGACTGAGGCAGTATTGCCTGTTTTTATTTACTCTCCTAATATACTTTACAGGGTAGACAAATTCCAGCTTGATTGTACGCGGCACAATACTAAAGATAATCCCAGTAGTAGATTGAATAATTAAAATGTTTGCCACAAAATAGCATAGCTAAGTAATCTGTTATTACTATATAATATTTTAGGAGTTGATCAAGACTGCATAGCAGTTTACATGGTAAGTAACTACTGTAAATTTCAAGGGCAGACTAACTGAGAAGGTGTGAACATGAATGTGGTATTTCATAAATGTAAATGTATACAGCAATATGCAGACATTTTGATGTTAAATTCCTAATTGGCCTTTGGAAAGTGGTTTTTTAACTATCGTTTGAACTTCATGAAGGAAATAAAATACAAAAGTGAATAAAATCCTAAAAATGTGTAAATATGAACACGCTGCATTAAATGTTTGCAGGGCTTGTAAGGGTAGGACTGATATCCTCCTAAATGGAAGGATGTAAGACCTATTTTTCAAAAAGCTTGCTTTAAACTAATAAGGAATTCTTTTTTTAGCATTACAAAGAGGATAAAACAATGTCTGGTTGCTCCTGAGCTTTTAGATGTATCTAAACTTATTAAAGTTTGTAGTGTTAATATTAAATTATTTAGGATTTACAGTACACCAGTGACTGTAGCAAAACGTAGATTTTCTTCTGGAGGTTTTAGAATTCTCTGTTGTTACAGCAAAATGCACTACTTAAAAGTTCTCATCTAGATCTTCAGTTTTCTTGAGTTAGAAGTGAAAATCACATTTAACTAAGGAAATTATTGTTTATAGTCTCAGCACTGCCAAATGTGAGTTTTCTTCTCTGCTTTGAAAGAAGGAAAAAAAAAGGGAAGGAAGGCTTTTTTTTTTTTTTTTTTAAACGTGCTGTTGCAGAACTAGGAGAAAACCTGCACTTGCAGTCTGTAAGCAGCCACCAGTTTTACTATCCCAGAGGATCAGAGAGAGAGATATGAGTCAGTTATGTACTATCTTAAAGCACAGCATCCCAACTAATTATAATACCAAAAGAATAGTGTTTGCTTATGTGAGGGTTGATGAACCAAAGCAGCAGCTTGAAATGCAAGTTCTCAATTACTGTGAGCGACTGGATGCAAATTTTTTTTTTTTGGTGTAACTTGTCCTCAGCCAATTTGGACATGAATTGAGATATGATATTTGCATATGCAAATATCATACAAACCGGTACGATAAAAAAAGAGCCTCAAGGTAGTTCAAGTGAAAATTCCTCAGTGCAGCTCCTAAATTTGTAAGAGGTGCTCTCAGTGGTTGCTCCTTTCTACAGTTGCTTCATTTTTCCTGCTGTGTTTATGACCCGTTTCATCTTCAAGAGTAAATGCCATACCCAAAGTTGAAGTGCATTTAGGTAAGTTAAAGAATATGCAAGCCCATCCAGTATATTTACTGAAGGAAGCTCTCGGACAGGCAGAATTGTCCTTGTGATGTTCATAAAAGTTCAGTCTGCAGTGACAGGCAAAACAGAGAGGGTCTGATAACAAAGATTGTAACCAACAGGCATATCGAAATATGCATAAATGAGGAGGTTTATTGTGGTTGAGTAGGGGTTCCCTGGGCAGTAAGTTGACAGCAGCCCTTTATGCCATTTCCAGTTGCCCAGTGTGCTTGGTACCACACACGAGGTCTCAGTTTATTCTCAAGCACACATACTACATGGTTTATCACTCCTGGTTTTAGATTTAATTTTCTCATGTAAACGTTCAAAATAATTTCACTATCTGTAAGAGGCATTTGGCTAAAAAGCTGCTGTGAACCCCCTGGGCAATGTGGAGATGGCAAACGGTAGGAAGCTCAATGACTAAAGGCCATTGCTGTGCATGTTATGCCCTGTAAATCTCAGGTGAGGGGGCAATAGGAGAAGGAATTCAACTTCTCCTCTTCTGCAGTGGGGAAGCTGCTGCCAGTCCCTGCTGTCCCAAGTTGCCACTGAGATAATCGTGTAATAATCGTAATTTTAATGCAGCAGCCACCCTCAGGAATACACTTATCCCTTTTTAGTGCCAGCTGCAGTCCTGAGGAAATGACTTCCTTATTGATAAAGTACAGCTGCAAGGTCTGCTTCCCTATGGCCTTTGTTTTTCTTCTATCTGAATTGCAGACCTCTGGCATCCCAGCTGTCAGTCCTCAGATGCAGGAGCCCTAGACAAACAAGGTTCCCAACTTGCAACGTTTACGTTCCAAGCAGTTTCCAGCTCCCCTCCATCCCAAAGCCTAAGCAACTTTCTGCGAAGGAACAATGGATGAGTGGATGTAGGACCTTGCGGATACCACTAAGCTGCTATAAATTCTTAAAAGTTCACCAATGTATTTCTGTGTGATCCAGAGTAGGGTGATGCAATGTTTGCTCTGGATGGATGGCTGTTTTAAATGAATAAATTAAAGTCTACCTAAGGTCTCCTTTCACTATTACACAGTACATTTTTTACAAGAGTGAAAGCATCTATAAAATGTTGGAAATTACAAGATGCTGCAGCTATCTGGAGTTTCTTTAACTAAAAATTGAGTATTTATGGTCTTATTTTGTGCTAACAGTGTTTCATGCTCATTTATCATTGCTTAAGTGAGTGTGACCTGGAAACTATATAGGAGGCATCTGTCACTGATAACTCCATTACAGCAATACCATCAATTCTGGTTAACTGAGCTGTCAGCTGGGGTTATATTAGATGGCTCTGACAGGTGACACTCAGTACACAGCTAAAGCAAGCTCTAGTACGTTTCCAAGTCCTCTTGACAATATTCTGATGTAATATTGTGGTGGTCATGGATACCTAAGGGTAATAAACACAGTATGCTGTGTATACTGGCTAGTTGATACATATACTATAGGAGCTTAAAGGAGCCATCACAACCTACTAAGAGCAGAGATTGTTAATACACAGTTAATCAGCTGTAAATCCACCAAGAAAACAGGGGAACTTGTGCCTAGTAAAAATATACTGCACTATCTTTGCAAGGAGTCTGATTTTGCTTGCTGGCTGTCTTGCATCCCGAGTTCATATACATCAGCATTTTATAGGCCAGTTCTTCTCCAGATCAAATGGGCTGCATGGAAAATGTGTTCCATAGCTAATTTGACTAACAAAAAAACATGGACCACTAATTTTCTAATGCAAATCAAACAGGTGATATTTCAAATGAGAGGTTTGTTACTCTTAATTTTTTCCTCTTTGAATACGCAAGTGCACTGCTTTGGTATTGAAGTTTTCAGAGCAACGGAGTACAATGAAGGCTGCCTTTCATTGGGGATAAAAGGATAAAATCATGTCTGATTATGTAAACATTACTGAAAATCCATAAATCATCTTTTTGCCCCAAGAGGTAAATGCTGGATAACATAAAGCTCATCTTAGAGAAGTCCTGTAACATGCTGGCCACTGCCTTTTATAGATCTTTCTGCAGATACTTTTTCTACTCTGTTTTCAATTATATTGCCATGCAAAGTCCAATCCAATGCTAGCTTCTTCTGTTCATTACAGATATGCCTTCCATAACTGCTTGAAATTATTATGGAGATTATAGCAATTATTCCTTTTGCAATGAATATTATCAACATGGGATTCTGCACAGATGAAAACTGCATTCACTAAATGGGAGGAGAGCAAAAAAACAGTGGAGCAGTTATTGTTTTAAAGTCCATGTTTGAAGTTTAGTACTATAGTTTAGTAATCTATTTACCTAGATAAACATTAAACTTTAACCCTGAAGTTTCTTTTTGTAGGAAGGCTGTCCTAACTAACAAACTACATGCTGTTTCTTTTAATGGCGCCTTAGTTAGTCACTTTTTTATCTGCCTGATCTTAGCTAAGGGTTAATGGTATTAGTAGTATTTTTGCCTGGAAGTACAATGTTTGCTAACTTTTGCCTTTAGTGTAAACTAGAAATGATGTCTTGAGTGCATGAAAAATGCAGCCTCTCTAAGACTGGGCTGGATGTGCTCTGTAATAGCTATGTTATTAAAGCATCTGAAAACTTTCAGTGTGTACTATGTTAAGAGAAGCAAAAAAGGAAAGCTTTAATCCTCTTGCTAGGCATTAAGCCCAGTTTCTCCTAGCATTCTCACCCTTTAGTCTCCTTTTATGGAGCTAGAAAATTATTCAGGTTGTTGCAGATGGTTACGTTTATTCTCAGAATTAGTTAACAGTATCTGTTGACAAGGAAAAAGAAATTGTTCAACAGTATGGGAACAAAGCGGCGGGAACCAGGATTAAATTTCAACATTTCCAGATTTTATTACTTGAATCTGCTATAGTTACAGTCTTCAAATATAATGCTTAGATTTCTCTCAGCAACTGTTATTAAGACTAATTTTAGGGTGTGGATTTTTTTCTTTTTTGTTTTTTTCCCCAGATCAACCTTTCCTTTGCCGAGATTACATCTCTTTGCAGAGAGGGCAAAGTATACTTCAGGGAGGTAATTGACTTTTGTTTCTGTGTTCCCATTTTCTGGATTGCCCTCACCACATGTTGGTGTCCAAGAGCAAGCATCTGTATCAGTGTCCTTAAGTGCCCGTCTGATTAATGTTTCTGTTTCTGAAAGACTGTCCTCATTGCTTAGTCTGGCTTAGTTTTCAGACAAAAAACAAAAAACAATATTTTTCTGCAAACAGAAATAGGAGCTCTGACCAGGTCCAGCTAAGTCATGCTCATGTTGGAGTTCAGTGAGGAAATGACAAGGGTAAGCACCTTACGTGTACATGATGTCAAAGACTTAAAATTAACAATGAGAGATTCATGTAAATTTTCTCCAGGCTGCCTGGTTAGGGCAAGTTTTTCAGTTTTGTGGAGCTGGAACACAAAAAAGCAGGTTTATAGTGAAATATTTCCATCTTCTTGTGCATCTTCATGAATAACAAACGTTCCCATGTTAAATTAGTCCTGAGTAGCTTTATAATCTTCAGCAGCTTGGCCGGTAAAAAAATTCTAGCTATGTACAGAGAACCCAGAATGTTCCCTCTTGTATGCATTGGCTTGGCAGGACTAAGGAAGGATGAAACGCAATATAAAGATCTTCTCCTGTTGCAGGAGTCTGAGGAGCTGCTCCACTCAGAAAGGAGATTCATCTGTTGAATTCATCTGTTATGCTATTGTTACATCAGGTATACTTAAAAAGGAACATTCAAGAAAGTTAGTTATCTTCACCTGTGATGTTTATGTGGATTATAGCTAAACAGAATGAACTTTGTTTACTTCCACTTGGAAGCGAAGGAAGCTAAACCAAATCAATGAATTCTGAAGTGTGTCCACTTAGGATTTAGATGTAGTTTATCTAATCTGCTTTAGAGTTGCATTTAGAAAACCTTCCTCTATGTCCTTATGTAGGCAAGCACATCGCTCTTTTTTCAGAGGAACACGGTGCTTTAAGCTGGGAGTCAATGGGTTGTTCTTAGCGTGTCCATTTCTTTCATTCATCAGAGCATCTTGGCACGCTAGATACAATAAAGATATTGTATAAATCAAAGTGTTTGACCACAGAAAGAAATTCACTGTGCTAAGATTTGAAGACTTACATTTTCAAAATTAAATGTTAAGAAAACTGCTTTGAATAGCTAAATTCTGTTATTGAATAATGACACGATTTTCCTTAATGTACTAGGAATTGATTGGATCTAAACCAAAATGTCATGGAAATAAATTAAGGTAATTGTGAATGTTTTGCACCCTTTTCTATAGAGGATAAGGTCCTAACAAATTGTATTGTAAAATCCAGAGCTAACTCCATCTTCAAAATGCCTGCATTGTAAGGTAATTATCCTGTTTGAGTTTTAAGTCATTATTTTGCCTGTTGCCTGAGGAATTTTACAGCAGAACAGTATTAATAAGATGCCAGGAGTACAAATTTCTTAAGTTAATCTCTGTCATAAACAGAATTCGTATAAGCAAACTGGCATTTTCATTCATAATTACTTGACCTACTATAAATATGGGTCAGGAATGAAAGAATGTTTGATTTTATGTTCTATGAAAAATGAAAACTTTCACATTTCAAGGAAAAAGACAAAAATTCAGTGTTTTCTGAGAAAGGATTGAACATACAACTTTGAGCAAAGGAGACTTCTAATTCTTCCACCTTGTAAATCTCAGCTAAGTGGCATTTAGACTTTAATGTTGGTGATGACAATTCCCTCAGCCTTCATGATGAAAGAAAGACCTACTGATTGACTGGGTCCATGAGTACCTCATTCGACCAACCCCACATATACAAAAATAACAGCCAAAACCAGGAGATTAAATTTAAAATGCAACGAATCAGGAATGTTTTTGCTCTCTGAAATTCAAACATTTTGACTGCAGGCAATCATGAGGACTAGACTTTTTAATGAAAACAAAGTGCCTCATAAGGTCATCTGACTTCAGCATCTGGGGCTTTAAATCTTTTGACTTATCCCTTTCTAAGTTTCTGAAGACTTTTAAATCATTTGTCAGTCACTGGCATGTGAGATTTGAAAACAATCAGATGAACCTGCACCTTCTGCATGTCAGTTTTCAGAGCTGTAATTTTTAATAACTGGCAGCAGGAGCCTCCTGTGCCTGCTAGGAAGGTTTTTGGCCCCAATAGTTTCAAGGCTGATCAAATTCTGTCTCCTTCAAACAAACATCCACCTCTTTTTGCCTCAAATCTTGATTACCTGTGGCCTTCAGATAGCCTCAAAATGTTAATAAATTACTTTTAGATGGGTTTCTGTTACAGTCCAGTAAAAGCTCCTGACAGATCTATGTAAACTAGTACCCATGAAAGATGTACAGTCTATGACCAAAATAATACATTTATATACTTAGATGAACAGTGTAAAGCTTTGCTGTTCTGAAAATTAATGTGGCAATGACATGACAGAACTATGACTTAAGGAAGCTAAAGCTGACTTTAAATTTAAGCTAATGCTTTATTGAATGGTATGCATAAAAATGGCTGGATCACAGGGACCACATCTTGAGATAATGAATACTGCTAGATAGTCTCTATTTTCTTAGTATTTCTTTAAGGCTCAGAGACACAATACAAGCAGTAATTAGCAGCCCAAGTGTCATAATGATAGTTAATAGTTTATATTTTAAAAATGAATATCCAAAACATCCCCATGTGGAGAAAATTATCTAAAGCGAGCTGGGCGGGAGAATGAGAAAGGAGAAGGTAAGGGACTTAGGCTGGTCACCCAGGAGTCAATGTTAACAAGACACAGGCAGTACCTTTTTCTTACAAAGGTAAAACACGCGAGAGCCACAAAACCAGACTTCATGGATGAAATCCACATGTGTTTTGGCCCATGCTTGGGAAAGTGTTAATCCCTTGTTCACAGAAGTACTTTCTTTGTCTCTGCGCCCTGTACAATGGCCTCATGCGCCCGCTCCTCCGCGGTGTCTAGCCAGTGATCTCAGCTGTGGCCTCAGCGGTTCACCCTGTCTGCAGGAGGAGTCGTAATTCAGTCTCCTTGCTCACTCCCCCTAAGCCTCTACTGCCAGTGATGACAGCATGTGCCAGCTATGCTTAGTGGCTTTACAGTATTGAGTGAACTGTCAGCTTCAAACTTATTTACTTAAGACTTGAGCTAATCACAGTTCTCAAAGTGACGTGCAATCCTTGCTCTCCAGTGCTAGATCTTTCTCTTGCTGCAGTGTGCAAGGGTGGTAATGAGCGAACATCATGATTTGCTAGCTCAACTGAGTAAGAAATGACAGGTAGGATTTATTTCTGACTTTCCAAACACCTTTATAGAGTTTTCAATTTTTTTTTTCTTAATTGGCTTCAGTGACAGCCTTCCACAGGCACCGTGCAAATCACAGGAACTGGTACTGTGCAGGACAGGTCTTCTGTTCTTTAAGGCAAGGTCTGTAAATGCCTTAGACTGCCACAGGATTAGAGCTAAAAATCCAAACCTAACATCGTTGTGATCCAAAACTCATCCCATTGTGGTTCCTGCCTTTTGCTTAATGTTCTTCTTCCTCATGTAGTGTGCTGTGCATTTAAAGCGATGTTATGATTAATCAGGCTAGGATTTCACTCGTGAGCAGCTCAAAATGCTTTAAAATGGAGCTGCAGTAGTATTTTCATGTTACTGAGAGAAATATCAGAAAGACATCCATTGCTAGCTGGCCTGAAGAGAAGACCAGAGAACTGACAACCATTGCAGTGCTGTATCCATAGCACCATATCTGCCTCATGTTAATAGGCACTAATATGATACAATGAGCTCAGCATTGATGGATGAAGATTTTGCAAAACAGGAGAACTTCTGTAATGAGGCAGCTTGAACTGTGGAGCAATTTAGTCTGGAAGCAACTTAGAGCAAATTTAGAGCAATTTAGTCTGAGTCGATAAAGCAAACACAGAAGAACATGTTTGGGCAAGTTCTGGGTGAGCTGTTGCATTTTCTCTAAAACTCCAACATTATTTTTCTGTTCTTTTATCCAAAGATATGGTGGCTGCCAATGGTTCTGTAGTCCATATGAACAGTGAGCTCCTCTGGATAACTAAGACACACGAGCTATTTCCAGTTCTGTGGGAGAACAATTTTATGGTAAAATATAGGCAACAAACATTAAAGGGAGCATAGAGCTGTTTCAGCTGTGAATAACTCTCTAATATTGTCTAGTCATTTCCAGCCCTGTGAACATGTTTTCAAATGGCCACCACTGGGAAATAAGAAATGATACTCTCTAATATTGTCTAGTCACTTCCAGCCCTGTGAACATGTTTTCAAATGGCCACCACTGGGAAATAAGAAATGATTGTTACTCTGCATGTAATAGATTTGATATTTACACCTCACCCTTGAGCCCCTGGATGTTCTACATTAACATATACTAGAGGTCCCTTTGGCTCAAGTAACTGAGGAGAAAGGGTTGGGGGTTGCAGGAAGAAAGCACTGGAAAGAAATTATGAAGTTTTAACAGTACAACAGGTTTGGAGAGAAGCTTCAAAGGATTCCTTTAAATGTAGATATGGTGCCAGAACAAAAGTAAACAGAAAAGGCTGTTTAGTTATTGCAGGCTAACTCAGTAGGGACAGCGCATCTAAGAGAACTCTTAGCTTTGAGGCACAACATGGTGTTGATTAGTGCAAATAAACCTCTTCAAGAGTCACCTTTCAGCAATTACAATCAGACACTGCCACTGGGGCTTCAAAAGCTTCATTAGCAAACTCCCTTCCCAATGAGAGCTACAAATCCCAGGTACCCCAGAAGTTTTAACTGACGGAGAACTGTCTTGCCGTATTTATTTTCTTCCAAATGAAAGAAATGGCAAGATAATTACACATCCTCTCATTAGGATAAATAGCATTAAAAATCAAAATAGACCCTCTGGAAAACATTGCAGCCAGTGGTATAGAATAAGAGATGAGGATATTTTGTTGCTGATGTTAAGGCACCTTGATGTTTTATTTTCATCTAAAGGGACAATCTAAAAAAAAATGCAGTACAATTTAGATGCAGCTGAAAGAAAGCTATCAAAAAAATATTTCTCTTTTTGTTAGGATTTTCTTATGACATACCTGCAAATATTGAAAACATTTTTTTAGTAATTTTCTCCTCATCCATTGGTAAAATAGAAAAAATATTTTTAATCCTTTCCTGGCTAAGGAAAAGGCAGTTGACACTGCTTACTGCATTGTCAACATGTCAAACGCTGGTAGGCTTTTTTGCAACACCAGTGTTGATCTGTTTCCATGGTAAGTGGGAAGACTTCTTGCTGTTTCCCCTGCTAACTTATACGCTTCCCAATAAAATACTAGGACAAGTTAAGTTTAGCGCTCTTGCCAATTTGAACATGAATTTGTATTGGACAACTAAAATCAAATGTTGTGCGCCAATGTTCTTCCCTAACCTACACCTCTTTATTGACTTGCTGCTTTGTATATGCTGTTGTTACGTGTTCACTCTCATATCTTAATGATAACACAGTGAGATACCAGAGGAATAATTACAGCAATGGCTGGTTTTTGTTCTTGTAGTTGTAGGGGGCTAATTTATTAGCAAAGACTTGTGAAATAGGCAGTGGGAAGCTTCATTTTGCTGATTTTCACTCAGCTCCACTGTCTAGTTTGTCTCTCTCTAATGGATCCGTGACCAGACTGACCAGGGTTCATACAGTATGATTTTACCTAGAAATACGTTTGGAGAATAAAGTTACTTAAAAATAACCTGTTGGACGGAATCAGTTGTGGAGCAGTCTTCCAGATCTGTGCATTTGGTCTTCCAATAAAACATCCTGCACTTTTAAGATACTGTTTCCCGTGGAGTAAATACAGCCTGAAATTGTAAAATAGAGAATAATTAAAAACAAGTATAAACAGTATCTCTATAAAGCTACGGATAAGAGTTTAACTGTTGATCGAATAAGGATTGCATGGTCAATCCTGGATCTGCCATGACTTCTGGTGTGAAATTTGTACGAACCGAAGCATCTTCACTCAGGTTTGGAGGAAACTTGACAGTCACTCAGTGCAATCTCCTGTTTCAAGCAGGGTCAGCACCAAAGTCAGGCCAGGCTGTGCTGGGCTTTGACCAGTCAGGTCTTGAAACCTCTGAGGATAGAGCCTGCACAGCCTCTGTGGGTCCCGGTTCCAGTGTTTATTTATCCTCAGAGTGAAAAATATTTTGCTTTTTCAGCAAAACAGCTGCCCCCGTTTCATTGTCGCTCATCTTCCACCTTCACCTCAGTGGAAGAGCCTGGCATCCTCTTGATGACCTCCTCACTGGTAGAGGAAGGCAGCTCTTAGCTCCCTGCAAAGCCATCCCTTCCCCAGGCTGCGTGGCTGACTAATGTTTAACCTGCTGAATACATGAAGCAGAGCAGAACTGGGACTGATATCTATGTCCCTCAGGCATCCAGCAGGCCATGTCTTCTTTACTACAGGAAGTTTATTTTGGGAATTCAGGCATGTTATTATTGGTTGTGGCAAACAAAGCCAGGCTTTCTGCAAGCAAATGGAATGAAAATAACCAAGATGTGAAATTCACCACATAAAAGTTATCTACTGGAGGGGCCAGAGGCAATTAGTATGCTTCTCCCATGTTGGATGGGAGAGGGAGAAAAGCTTGATATAAACAATACCACTTGATAAAAAAGGAAGATAAAAGCAACGGGGGGAAATCTCTAAAGCAAGTGAAAATTTGCCACTGATTCGTCGGGGTCACGGTTTCGCCTGCTGACTTTGTTGTAGAGAGCAAAGTCTGCTGAACTTGGCTGCATATCTGCTACAGGCAAGAATGAAGGAAGCATGTTCCCACACACCAGGACCCGCTTGAATGGCCTGTCTAAAGCATTAGTATGAAACACCACCTTGTGCTGTTTCGAACAAGCATATTGACAGTATCTAAGCATGTGCCATTTTAGGGAATATAATAAAATCACAAAGAAATGTAGTACTGTTACTGCAGCGGCACAGCGGCACAAAACAGAGCAGTACTAGTGCTATTGAGAACTTTCTCCACTTAATGCATTTATGCCTGACAGAATAAAAATAAAAGCTGTGGAGCAAAACCAGAGAAGTTCAGATTAGGAATCTGTCAGAGAAAGTGCCTGGTAGCACGAAGCAGTTGTCAGTTGCTGCTCAATGTAATTTGGTAACATGGTATGAATTCCAGGCTAAAAAGTATGTTTATAGTTAGTATCTTTTCACACTAATGGACATAAATGGAGCACTGACAGCACAGGGCACTTCACAGCAAGCACAGCACTGGGTGCTGCACGAGGAGAACACGGCATGTGATGACAGCCCAGAGTACTGGATCGGGGATGGAAGAGGAAAGGCTTATGTTAAAATGTGTTTGGTTTCAAATGAGACTTTCTGGTTAGCTTCCTGTGCAAGCTGCTCGAGACACACAGCAGTTCTGGGAGGGGTAGGGGCCGAAGTAGCTGTGAATACCCCGACTGAGGTACCCTGTCTGGGGAAAGCTCCAGTCACACCTTAATTTCCAATATTCCAACTGGGAAGGCTGCAGAAAAGAGGTGGAAATGTCCACATAAATTGGTGCAAATCCCAGCTTGCAGAATGTGCACTGTTTCTCTGCTTACGCTTACAGGGATTAAAAGAGTTTTTTAGCTCTTATTTGAAACATCTACAAAGGATAAGCAGCATAAACAAAAAAGCCAGCTTTGAAAACAAGAGGAGTGAATCATTCTTTGGAGCTGTTTGGTCTAGGATGTTCATGTATTTTTAAGCCTCAAATTTAAATATTAGACTAGCCTAAAGTCCACAGCCCTGAAAGGTATTCACTGCTTTTTACTGTTAGGTTCAATGTGGGAGCATGCTTTACCATTTCCAGATTGCTTTGCCTTAAGAAGAGATGTAACTTTAGATTTTAATCTGTATTAGATTATATTCTGAATGTGTAATAAACACATTGGGAAATAAAAAAGTAAAATGGAGTTCCTGTGCTTGGCCTAAGAGAACTTCTGGTAAGCATTGTCTCTAAAGAGAATTACATTATGAATAACAATGAAGAGTTGTCAAAAATATATAAATATATCTATCTCAGGAGGGAAAGTTATTAATGAGATTGTCCTTCTATCAGTAATCCTGTATCCAGACCACCTCCTATGAGATTACCCTTTGAAGAAACAAGCATACTGAGAAGTCGTGCTGTGTTATAGAGAGAATTGTGTGAAGCAATTAACCACAGGAACCATGACGCTGATTGCAAGTAGCTGCTGATCCGGCAAGGAAAACTGATGTACCAAAAAAACAAGCAAGGACAGAGGCAGGGCATTACAGGAGTCGCACAGTACTATAAGGTAGGAGAAATGGTGGGTGAAGTTGTGCCCGTCATTGTTCAAGTGAACAGATGGGTGATGTGGTGTATTTCCAAAAGCAGTTTGGTTTTAGTTTTGTTAAATTACATGCCTGAGTTAAGACATAAAAGAGACAGAAATGATTAAGAAAGCATGTCAGCTTAAAACTGACATGCTACAGAAAATAAGGAGAAATAAGGATATATAAATAAGGATAAATAAAAGGATAAATAAAGAAATAAATCGCGATGAGAAACTGTGTCTTTCTGCATGATAGACAATGTCACATTTGACTTCCATTTCAGGGGTACTGTCATGGCTACCGTAGGTTACATATTTTAGCCAGTGCAAAATGTCTCTCGCATATAACAGCATGTCTTTCAGTATGGAGCTGGCATGAAAGCAATGCTGAGCAAGCTTGCACACTGGGCTCTGTCTACCGTGGGTTGCAGTTTCTGTAAGTTTTCATTCCACTGGTGGACTTCCATTCCAGCCAATTTCAAAGGGTGATAATTTAAAAGGAAGCAAATACAGGATATATATCTTCTTTTGGATGGGGGGGGAGGGAGTTAAGTGTTTAAGTGGACGCATAAACAGTCAGGTAAACTGAGAATTGCAATTGGAAAATGTAAGAATTAAAACTCAAATCATAAGAAAAAAGCTCATCGGCTGTCAGAGGGGCTCACTGGAGAGCAAACAGATCAGTGGCCAATGATAAAGCTCAGAAGGCCCAGAATGGTGGAAAAGTGACACAAAACAAATAAAGGAAAAGAAGTGGCAGTAATGCAGTTCTTTAGTAAATAAGAGCAGATGGGGATAGGTGCTGAAATTTGATGATTGCAAGAGTGATGTGTGAGGGAAGTGGAAGGGAAATCAAAAGTTATACATTAAATCCTGGAGAATTTGTAAGATGATCCAAAGCACAGAAAAACAATTAGAAGTTTGCTGTTCAAGCACACCTTCTCTGTGAAGAATAAAAAACCGGTGAAAGATGAACAAAAACGTTGTGAAATTGTAAAGGCTTCAGGGAACAAAATAAGCACTCGAAACATACTGCAAAACCTTAATGCCTGCTCAAGCATATTTACCCTGTTCAGTGCAATGGTATTCAAAGTCAGATTTGACATGTGTGTTTCCCTCTGAAGTAGATGGGAGGTCTGCTTGTCCTCACTATAATTTTTAATTGAGTTTATGTTCAGTTAGCATAACATGATTGCTCTAAAGATGGCTTCTGTCTGCTCATAATGAGGTTAAAACTCAATTAGTAGCTGCAGCATCTAACAATATTTCACCTCTTGCCAGAAGGCTCAACTAGCATATGGCTAGCTGCATGTAACCAGTTCAGCACGCATTTCATTTTGCAGCGATGACAGGCTCCCCCACCAGCGTGGCGGTCGCCTTCCCTTGTAGTGCCATGTCGTGGACTGTCCCACGATGCCTCGTGTGCAGCTTCCCGGGAAATCTAGTCCGAGGTCTAAATATCATATCACAAAAAATATTAACACAAAAATCATTCACACCTTCACTTTGCAGTATTTATCAATTTCTGAAAGACACATAGCGAGCGGCTAAGAAAAATGCTAAGATGATAATAAAGATTTTGATTTATGCGAGAACTAAGATTTCTTTTCCAGAAGAAAGAAACTCTATTCTGATTAGCTAAATTAAAATGAACAATCAATCTTTAACTGTAATAATCAACAGGCCTCATGAAAAACTGGGTGTCTGCTATGCTACAAAGCCCTCGTTAAAGCCTGTGGTGCTCCTTCCTAAGGCTTTTTACTTCTCATTTCTGCCTAGCTGACCCTGATGAAGTCATTTTTGTAGTATGTCCTTTGCACAAAATGAATTATAGCTTTCTCTCCCCCTTCCTTTTAAGGGAAGTCCAATTTTCCCATTATTCACATCTTCACCCAGAAAATTATCAAGCATGTTGATATTTATGTGATAGTGTCAATATTTACCTGAAATATCAATTTCAGTGGCTGTACAGATGATTGACCTTGGCTGTATGTCTAGCATATCTTGATCAAGAGCAGGTAAATAATAAATATGTCATGTTCTGAATTGTCATATAAAATTCATAGATATTTGTAATTTGAAGATATCCAAGAGAGAAGCTGCCTTGGAACATATAAATAAAGACACTGGCAGCAGGAGGAAAATTGTGAATTGTATTGTCTTGTATGTTATAAAGTAACCTGGGATAATAATTCTCTCAAATAAAAAATGGCTTAAACGCAGTTCCAATCATTTTGTCAAGGTCTACTGCTTTCAGTTTACTTTATATACTAATTTTGGACAGAAAGCATACACGTCCTTGGAACATTTTATATCTCCTTTTTGAAACTCCCCGTCATTCCTGTACAAGTTGTGTAAGCCATGCAACTTGTATAAACAATGTGTATTTTAGATCTTTCTGTTTTCCTTCCATGCTCAATTCACAGTTATTCATCTAATCAGTTCTCTTTTATACTTACATTCTATTTTTAATAAAGAACTGTTGGGCAGGGATCATCAAAGGACTCTTGTGCGTACCTGTTAGTTTAATGGTGTCCTCTGCCATTAATATCAAGTACAATTATTTTCTTTGCACTGGTATCTTTGTAGCTCTGCAGATAATTAATGTTAGGAAGGTGTAGCATGCCATCGTCAAGGATGGGATGATCTTTATGTCCCCAGGATGCCTAATAACTGTGCAGCTGCAAAGGTGTCCACTTTTATCACGGCTCTTCTTGAAAACCCTCAGGAGATCTCAAAGGTGAATGTCTATTTTTCCCTATTTTACTTCCTGCCAGGTAGTTCTTGACATTTTGATATGGATTGCCTTTATTAACACTATTCCAGATGATGTGTCACATGCAACACATTCCCGCTGAACGTCCTGTGTGAGGGCTGCGCTCGGTTCTGCCCTGTTTGCTTCATACCATCAGATCATGATGTCGCCCAACACCATACGCTTTCACTTTACAACAAAAAAGAGATAACTGGTGCCAACACATGGGTTTTCCAGAAATGCCTGGACTGTTGCTGGAGCAAACCAGCATACGCTGGCTGACCACAGGCCCTGTAAGCGCTTGACTTTGAGAGGGTTAACCAGGCACCAAAGATACTCTTCTGGGTCCTCCAAGTCTGCACCAGGTCTGTGGTGTGGAGTCGTCGTCGGCACCCTATGGCAGGTGAGACATAACCCACCCAGAGGCACGTTGCCCCTCGGCCGCGCAGTGGTGCAGCCGAGTGACACGCCGCCTCCGCCGGCCCAGTCACCCTGCGCCAACGCCAC